CATGTTAGCATAACTTTCATAATTATGATATTCAACAAACTTGAAGTTCCATTCTTGGAACACAAAGATGACAGCCATAATGACAAGCTTGCTGGTCACAATAGCAAATCCATTAAATGCAAAGCTGATAAACACACCAATAAACAAGACAGGCTATGAAAAACAACAACAAGCGAATAACAAATACACAAATGACTGACAAACGCCTAGCAACTGCCATCACAACTCCAAAGTTACACTAATTCAGCAAGAAGTCGTAATAAATGGCTGTTCACAGATATATTCACATCCACACATGCTGAAAACAATTTGAACTGATCTCAGAGTTACCTGCCCTTCTTTTAAGAGTAACCCGCCCTTGTGTTTACCAACAGCACACTTTCATGAAGTCCCTCCACGCTATGTACCATATCAAGAGAATTGGTTGAGTAAGCCAGTAATCACTGACCAATCCTTTTAATGAACAAATAGAAATTCACCTTTGAAATAATAAGTAATCAACTGTTACATGATTCTCTTTTATGACATTCAAGTAGACACAGACGAAATATATATGTTATTACATTTTGGACTTGAGGGAATACTTGGAAGCCTCTTATATGGATGGCAGCAATAATAATGTTGTCACTCTCTGAAATGGATTTGGTATGATCTTGTGTTACAAGCTCTTGAGTGACAAACCATTGTGTCTAGAGTTAATGGTCATTGTGTTCAGAGTTACCCACCCTTGTCTTCGGAATTACTACCCATAAACATATATTTACCCATCCTAACTTCAAGGTTATCCAGCTTTGTGTTCAGAGTTACCCACCCTTATTTCAGAGTTATCCAGCCTTGTGTTCAGAGTTACCCACCCTTATTTCAGAGTTCCATCCTTACTTCAGAGTTATCCCCCCTTGTGACCCTACCTGTAGAGCAGACGCCCCAGCTTGAAGGAACTGCAGTCCTGCTTCAGCTGAGTCTATTCCACCAGTGGCCAAGATGGGGAAGTTGGGTAGATTGCGGCCAATGTCGGACACAGCACGCAGTGCGATTGGTCGTATGGCATTGCCAGATACACCTCCGTATGTGGTACGATGTTCCTTGCCAACGCTGGGCCAGGCAGTAGCATTTGTCCTCAATCCCATCAGACCAGAGACAGTATTAGTTGCAGTCACTCCATCAGCTTTGCCTGGGTGTAAGGTGTGGATTTAATAATTACACTGAGGAGCAAACAGTTGCGTCATGGCACAGTGGACTATATCATGGTGTTCACTCAGACAAACCAGTGTTTAGTAACTAAAGCAGGACGCCATTCCATCTTGATGACACAAACAGACTATAAGCGTTCAGTTACAGGGTCATGCTCGCTGAGGAGCCAAATTTCTGGCTATATCTAAACATTCTCATCAATGACTTGTGCCAAACTAAGAAACTGTTTTTGATATTGTCTTATTGCCATAGCTATTTTTGAGATATCAACATAAAGTTTCCATTTTGAATGAGTAAAATTCAGAACAAAGTTATGTTTCAGTCACAATGAATACTCTAAGTGTCATATCTTGGACAGTGAAAGAATCAGTGAGAGAGCAAGTTGGATGGGTATAAAACCACATTTCAACAAATATGTTATATATTCTACTGTGAATGAATCAATGAGTGAGTGAGACGGGTTTAAACCTGCTTTCAACAGTATTCCATTCATATCAAAGCATGTCAGCCTGATATAGGAAGAAAGCTTGATGAGATGTAGGCCTCGGACATTTACTACAGCATGAAACCTACAAGCATATGAAAAACTGTGAAAACAAATCATGGACAACCCAGATTCAATCCACAATGATTGGTTTCAAGGCGCACAACTCTTCATGTGGAATTGTTACACCTAAAAAAGACCAGGACACCAATTAAGGAACCTGGGGGATGACAGCATGAACAAGTTCTGCTCTCTCTGGATATAATGACACACAGGGAGGCAGGCCAGACATTTCCTCCCAATGCCAGTCAGTTCTTGTATCAGGACTCACCCTGAATATTCTCCTGACTCACTTTGAGTGTTTCCCCCATTGTGCAAACATGCAACAACATAATTTAAATATAAACTGTTCTAAAGCAGCAATAAACCCAACTCCCTCACTCACTCATGGGGTTCTAGGTAGCTATTCCAATATGGCATCCAAAGAGTTGAGAAATTAGGAAGACATGATAGCTGTGGGCAACGTCCACTGACTTCACAATGCATGGTAATAACAACTGCAACATTTGCAACTGCAGCTACTCAGGGTGGACGGTATTATCAGTATATCGGTTTATTCAGGTTCATTGTTTCCACGATACATAGATACATATCACAACATTATTTTTGAATGCTCGTCATACTCGGTGATCTTAACTAGCGAATTATATCATGTGTTTCATGTTATACACCTGTAAAACACCTCTATAACTTTTTGTAATTCCAAAATACAAATCCATGAAGATAAGAAGTTCATTCTCAGTTACCTCCCTTGTGTGCATGCGTATTCCTACATATACTGACACATAATGAAAATGCAAAACCAATTTCAAATTTGGAAAAAATAATAAACAACATCATTTGGCTACATATTTTGATTACAATTATGTTCAGAATTTCATTGTGTTTCCATTGCATGAAAAATGAGAACATGAGTTCCCAAATGATGGGTGACACGTCACGTTTTACACACAGACCCCCCATTACGAAAGTCAGTAGCGAGTGTGACCTCCCTGAGCCCGCAGGCAAGCACGGAGTCGGCGTGGCATGGATTTGCAATAACATCGAACAGATGCGTCGGGGATGTTCTGCTTCTCCTGCTGTAAAGCTATGGTCAACTCTGCAACGTTGTTTGGCTGACGCTGACGTTGATGGATACAGCGCCCAAGCTCATCCCACAGGCGCTCTATGGGGTTAAGATCTGGTGAGACGGCTCGCCAGGGAAGGACTTGGATCCCTGCTTGGTGGAGGAAGTCACTAGTAAGGCGTGCAGCGTGTGGTCGGGCATTGTCACGCTGGAATGTGAACGGCACTTGCTGATGTCCATGGTTGTTCAGGAGAGGCTGAAGAACGGGCCTTAAAATCTGGTCGACATAACACTGTGCTGTCAGTGTACCATTATTCACAATCACTGGACTCCGAAATCTTGCATTAATTGCAGCCCAAACCATTACACTTCTTCCACCAAAGCGGTTCCTCTCAATAACACATCCATCTTGATAACGTTCATGTTGCCATCTGTAAACACGTCTTCCGTCTGCAAAGGACACACAGAACCTTGATTCGTCAGAAAAGACACATTGGTTGAAGAATCTGGATGGCTGACGGCTATGTTGGTGTGCAAACTGTAGTCTGTTATCCCGATGACAAGGCGTCATGATGTTTCCGCGGTATTGCCTCCGACACCTCATTCCCACAGCTCGCAGACGTCTTATGACTGTCATAGCGCTGATGTGGCGTCCATGGCGTCCTACTGTGTTTCGAGCTGTGTTTGTTGCTGTCTGGGTGCGGTTTCTCCGGTGAACACGTCGGATATGTCGGTCTTGATGTGGTGTCGTAACCGGAAGTTGGCCTGGTCGTTGACAGTCACGGACACTTCCCGTTTGCAGCTGACGTTGTTGGAGTCTGTGAATGGTTAATGGACTCACTCCAAAGTGGCGGGCGACCTCACTCTGCGATGTTCCCACCAACAGCATCCCAATAGCCTTGTTCCCTCTGTTGTTCGCTGAGCCGTGGCATTTTGCGACTGGTAGTGAAACATTTGAACCATAGTGCCTTTTATGCGTCCATACCCAGGTTTTGCACGTGCATGTCATGATAACCATGCGCCCCAAAAGATCCAAGAAATCAGCCTGAGTTGTGTTTTCATGAATTGTCCCTATGCCAGGAAAACGAAATGGGTTTGAACCCAAATGTGCATATGAATTTCTTTGGCAGCCTTACATCACTTTATCTAAGTGTGATAAGTGAATTTGTTTCATGAAACTTTTTGGAAAATGACCAAAATGGGTTTTGCGTTTTCAAAGTGTGTCAGTATATTATATGTATTCTCATCACAAGGGAACAAGTGAAAATGTTTCCAATGTAATTTAAAACAAATTTTTCAACAATATTTGATGTAAGACAAACAGCATTACACTATTACCACCAGCATCTTGTTTTGTTCTATTTATGAACTCTAATTCATGCAATGATGTTTCAAGATTGCTTCTGAGTTCAGAATTTGTAATTATACAATATATTGTGATAAGTATCACAATACGACCAATACCCATCTCTATCAGCTATACTCTCACCTTCGTATGCTGCCTGAGCTATGACAGCAATGCTGGTCACATTTGGGGTCAGCTTCGCAAAGAATGGAATCTTGACAGCCTCTCTCACCCAACGACAAATATTTCTCACCATTTCTGGATTCTGAAATGATAATGATAGATCACTTCCATTATGCAAGACTTTTCATAACATTTCACAAGCATATGGTTATATTTTGTTTTAAAACTATAGGTGATATTTTCAACCCATTAATATCTTAGTTCTTTATAAATATATCGTACATATTTCCTGACATAACGAACCTTTGGGACAGAGTCCACTAAACACACAGTCTCACCTGTCCACAAGCCAGACCCATGCCTCGCTCCCCCATTCCGTGGGGACAGGAAAGGTTCAGTTCCAGAGCATCAGACCCTGCTTTCTAGAATAGTAAATTCATGAAAATATGCATGATAACATCATTATACAATGGAAGGTGTTATGATTAATATCAAGAATCCTAAAAACTTTGTATCAAGACCTGAGAAACAACAGGTCTTTGGTATAGACTACTTCTGACATGTTACACACATTGATCCGATGGTTATTAAACGTTCAGCAAAAAATAACAAAAACATATAGATAGTGATTTCTCAATGTGTGTCATCAATCAACATGGGTATATCTATATTTCCAAACTGTACTTGACAGACGAATCGGGGAAAAACTTTAGTATTAAATGGTCTCACATTCCAAATTTCCAAGGAATTATAAAAGTTTATTCAAATTTGGCAGTTTTATTTTTATTTTTGCAGGTTTGGGTCCCCCATATGGCCTCTGAGCAGGCCCCCGACAAATCCCTGACCATCCATGCCTTCTGATCACTGACCTCAGCCATTTGAGCCAGCTCTGTCCAGTCTTCCTTACTGTAGCCGCACATGATGCTGGCTATCACAATCTGCAACAACAGGAACAAAATATTTGTAAAAATTTATACTTCATCAAGGAAAACTGTTTGCGTACTGTGTTTGTCAAAATTAGTATATAGACGTCAATACATCTGTGTTTCATGTAAAAGGAAGGGAGCCAAAGTATTGCATTTCAAGTTATGTGATACTTTAGGCCTGGAAGCGCAACATGTGGACCTTTACTGTCAGTTCACTTCCAGTCTTTGAAAATGTGAAAGAAACAAAATGTAAAGTGCTATTGGTATAAAGGGTTTTACATGACAGTGAAGCTGCTTTTTTTGTATCTAAATAGTGACAATTAGATCTTAACATGTGATCATCACTGATGCAAATATTTCTAAGAAAAAATGGTCATATATAAATAAATATTATAATATGCGAAATTTGTATAGCGCCCTATATGGCTTAACATGAAACCACTCTAAGGCGTGTAACAGTGTTCAAGGGTGAGGTGAGGTGAGGTGAAATTGGGTTTAACGTCGTGCTTGAGAATATTTCGCTCATATGACGACGTGCATGCGTGTGTATGTGTATGTGCGGCTGCGTGTACTAGCCCAGACTGAAGCTGGTTTTATAGTGCTAGCCCACTGAGATACCATGCCGCAGTGAAGCACGAATACCCCACTCAGACACATTATACTGACTCCGAGTCGACCAGTCCTTGTTGTACCCATTAATGCCGAACGCCAGGCAGGGACCAACAAGTACCATATTTTAACGTCTTTTTGGTATGACGCGGTCGGGGATCGAACCCGCGACCTTCCGCTCTCCGGGCGGACGCTCTAACCACTACACCACGGAGGCGGTCTTCAAGGGTGAGAGTCTTTTGCTGAGGGGTATAAGCATTTTTATATAGATGGGTTTTGACGCCCTTTTTGAAACAGATGTATGAATCAGAGTTTCTGATTGTGGCTGGTAGATTGTTGAAGAGAGTTGCTGCTAACTTGTTAAAAAATCTGTCACCATATATGACCCAAATCATCTGTAAATCACAATTTGTGTGTTGGAAATGATTCACATCATGAAAAAATCACATTGTGGGGGTGAAAGAATGCAAAGATCAAACAAAACATTTGTCCATCAGGTAAAAGATGCAACTCAATATAGTGCACAATCAGTTACATAAACTTCTTATTAACACAATATGACAGTTGTACATTAATCTGTATATAGTTGGTTTATTTGTTGTTTAACACCACCCTCAGCAATATTCCAGCTATCTGATGGCAGACTGTAGATAATAGTCTAGACCAGACAATCCAGTGATTGACATAATGAGATCACCATAATGCATCAACGAAGCCAGGGAGTCTGACCACCCAATCCTGTTAGTTGCCTCTTACAACAAACATGGGTTGCTAAAGATCAATTCTGACTCTTCTAGCCAAATCTGAAGCCTCCTCCAACCAGCAATGGGTTGCTATGGATACATCCTGCCCAGGTTCTTCAAGGGGTAATCTGTATACCTCATGTATCCGACTACTAGACTGAACGCGCTGTTACCCTGTCTGGGAAGTCCTTCTTGAGTTCCGTGACACTGGCGCACCAATAGGCAGCTGTCTTTTCACTGATCAGCTCGATGTTGAGGAATGACCCTTGACCTGGTCCAAAAAGATGACCCGAGGTCGTTCCCCTGACAATACGGGGTGACACATTGGTCACAATGTCCTAAAAAATGAAACAAGTATATGTAGGTTTATATTACAGTCAGGCTTCCCTACCGTCATCTATCTAGAACTGTCTGGGCCAAAGGTGACTGATTATATTGAGATTATATTATGTCCTAAAACTAACCAGCCATGAATACCCCCTTAATACATGTTATTTAAGGATGTAATGATTGATCAGTACACTGAAATTGTCCGTCACTTTTTCACAAGAAGAGTTGAAATAGTTAACAATGTTGATGATTTATGACATTGTGCACGAAATGATATTGTTAATACCCAACCTTTCCATTAACTGACATCAAAAATACATGTTGAACAAACAGACACGTGTACCCATTCAGAAAATATTCAACATTATAGATAAAATATAGGTTTTAGAAACTATTCTATAGATATGTTTTCATACAAAGATTTAACTATATTTCTGGATATAAATATCTGTCTACAACTGAAGATACCTGTGTGGAACTTAACAACATACAAAGCTGAATCAACGATTTTTTTAGACAGTTATAAAAGATTTCTCACCAAGCTGAATAATGAAAGAATATCAACAACGAAGTGGCAAAACTATTACCACACTACCTCAGAGTCACTGCATCAATATACATCAGTGCTTGAAACTATGGCAGGTTTTTACAAAGGTAAAACATTCAACTGTCATCCCAAGTTATCCACAAGCTCATGGGGGCAGTGGGGTAGCCTTGTGGTTAAAGCGTTTGCTTGTCACACCGAAGGTCCAGGTTCGATTCCCCACATGGGTACAATGTGTGAAGCCCATTTCTGTTGTTCCCCGCTGCAATATTGCTCGAATATTGCTGAAAGCGGCGTAACCATACTCACTCACTCACACCAAACTCATACCTTGTCAAGGGAGAATGTCTTGGTGAGAGCGAAGCCCCAGCCAGCCTCGAATCCACGTCGGATCATTGGGCTGCTCGTGGTGGGTGGGGCACTGGCCAAGCCGAAGGGGTTGGGAAAGCGGAGGCCACAGATCTCCACACTCAGGTCAACCTCGTCTATCGGGGTGAAGAAGTTGGGCAGGCTCGGCTCTGGGGCCACACTCACTCCATCCAGACTCTGCAAGAGAAATATTATGGCGGGGTTATCCCATTACCACATCACCTCCACTGGGGCCAATAGAGCAGTTGTAATTTTGATAGTTCAACACATTCCTATTTCTAAATATTCAGCATTATTTTATTTAGATTAATAATCCCCAATATACTCTGAAGCAAATAGTTTTGTCTCCTCAATGCCAAGCACCAGGCAGGAAGAAGAGGTCATCACCCCCTGAGAGTTGAAGCCATCACCCCCTGGGAGATGAGGCTGTCATCCCCTGAGAACTGAGGCTGTCACCCCCTGGGAGTTGAAGCCATCACCACCTGGGAGTTGAGGCCATCACCCCCTGAGAACTGAGGCTGTCACCCCCTGGGAGTTGAAGCCATCACCACCTGGGAGTTGAGGCCGTCACCCCCTGAGAACTGAGGCTGTCACCCCCCTGGGAGTTGAAGCCATCACCACCTGGGAGTTGAGGCCATCACACCCTGGGAGTTGAAACCATCACCCCCTGAGAACTGAGGCCGTCACCCCCCTGGGAGTTGAGGCTGTCACCCTCTAAGAATCGAGGCTGTCACCCCCTGGGAGTTGAAACCATCGCCACCTGGGAGTTGAGGCCATCACCACCTGGGAGTTGAAACCATCACCACCTGGGAGTTGAAGCCGTCACCCCCTGGGAGATGAGGCCGTCATCCCCTGAGAACTGAGGCTGTCACCCCCTGGGAGTTGAAGCCATCACCACCTGGGAGTTGAGGCCATCACCCCCTGAGAACTGAGGCTGTCACCCCCTGGGAGTTGAAGCCATCACCACCTGGGAGTTGAGGCTGTCACCCCCTGGGAGTTGAAGCCATCACCACCTGAGAACTGAGGCCATCATCCCCTGAGAACTGAGGCTGTCACCCCCTGGGAGTTGAAGCCATCACCACCTGGGAGTTGAGGCCATCACCCCCTGAGAACTGAGGCTGTCACCACCCTGGGAGTTGAAGCCATCACCACCTGGGAGTTGAGGCTGTCACCCCCTGGGAGTTGAAGCCATCACCACCTGAGAACTGAGGCCCTCACCCCCCTGGGAGTTGAGGCTGTCACCCTCTGAGAATTGAGGCTGTCACCCCCTGGGAGTTGAAACCATCACCACCTGGGAGTTGAGGCCGTCACCCCCTGGGAGTTGAAACCATCACCACCTGGGAGTTGAAACCATCACCACCTGGGAGTTGAGGCCGTCACACCCTGGGAGTTGAAACCATCACCACCTGGGAGTTGAGGCAGTCACCCCCCTGGTAGTTGAAACCATCACCACCTGGGAGTTGAGGCCATCACACCCTGGGAGTTGAAACCATCACCCCCTGAGAACTGAGGGCGTCACCCCCCTGGGAGTTGAGGCCGTCACCCCCTGGCAGTTATACCATCATTCCCTAGGAGTTGAGGCTGTCACCCTCTGAGAATTGAGGCCGTCACCCCCCTGGTAGTTGAAACCATCACCACCTGGGAGTTGAAGCCATCACACCCTGGGAGTTGAAACCATCACACTCTGGGAGTTGAGGCCGTCACCCACTGAGAACTGAGGCTGTCACCCCCTGGGAGTTGAGTCCATCACCACCTGGGAGTTGAGGCTGTCACCCCCTGGGAGTTGAAACCATCACCCCCTGAGAACTGAGGCCGTCACCCCCCTGGGAGTTGAAGCCATCACCACCTGGGAGTTGAGGCCGTCACCCCCTGGCAGTTATACCATCATTCCCTAGGAGTTGAGGCCATCACCCCACTGAGAACTGAGGCCGTCACCCCCCTGGGAGTTGAAACCATCACCACCTAGGAGTTGAGGCCATCATTCCCTGGGAGTTGAAACCATCACCCCCTGAGAACTGAGGCCGTCACCCCCCTGGGAGTTGAAGCCATCACCACCTGGGAGTTGAGGCCGTCACCCCCTGAGAACTGAGGCTGTCACCCCCTGGGAGTTGAAGCCATCACCACCTGGGAGTTGAAGCCATCACCACCTGGGAGTTGAGGCCGTCACCCCCTGGCAGTTATACCATCATTCCCTAGGAGTTGAGGCCATCACCCCACTGAGAACTGAGGCCGTCACCCCCCTGGGAGTTGAAGCCATCACCACCTACCATCATTCCCTGAGAACTGAGGCCGCCACCCCCTGGGAGTTGAAACCATCACCACCTGGGAGTTGAGGCCATCAGGCTGTCACCCCCTGGGAGTTGAAGCCATCACCACCTGGGAGTTGAGAGAATCTGAGGCCGTCACACCCTGGGAGTTGAAGCCATCACCACCTGGGAGTTGAGGCCGTCACCCCCTGAGAACTGAGGCTGTCACCCCCTGGGAGTTGAAGCCATCACCACCTGGGAGTTGAGGCCGTCACCCCCTGAGAACTGAGGCTGTCACCCCCTGGGAGTTGAAGCCATCACCACCTGGGAGTTGAGGCCATCACACCCTGGGAGTTGAAACCATCACCCCCCTGGGAGTTGAAACCATCACCACCTGGGAGTTGAGGCCATCACACCCTGGGAGTTGAAACCATCACACCCTGGGAGTTGAGGCCGTCACCCCCCTGGGAGTTGAAGCCATCACCACCTGAGAACTGAGGCCGTCACCACCTGGGAGTTGAAGCCATCACCACCTGAGAACTGAGGCCGTCACCCCCCTGGGAGTTGAGGCCATCACCCCCTGAGAACTGAGGCCGTCACCACCTGGGAGTTGAGGCCGTCACCCCCTGAGAACTGAGGCCGTCACTCCCCTGGGAGTTGAAACCATCACCACCTGGGAGTTGAGGCCATCACACCCTGGGAGTTGAAACCATCAACCCCCTGAGAACTGAGGCCGTCACCCCCCTGGGAGTTGAAGCCATCACCACCTGGGAGTTGACACCATCACCCCCCTGAGAACTGAGGCCATCACCCCCTGGGAGTTGAGGCTGTCACCCCCTGAGAATTGAGGCCATCACCCCCTCGGAGTTAGGCCATCATCCCCTGGGAGTTGAGGCTGTCACCCCCTGAGAACTGAGAATTCACACTCTGAGAATTGAAACCTTCACCACCTGGGACTTGAAGCCATCACCCTCTGAGAATTGAAACCATCACCACCTGGGAGTTATTTATGCCATCATTCCCTGGAAGCTGAAGCTATCGACCCCTGGGAGTTCATTGTAATCACCTGCAAGTATCGATGTAGGTGCCAGGAAGCAATCTTTCCATCATTGGTTGACTCCACCGTCGTCTGAGCCACCCCAGCAATATCACCGCCACAGAACACCCAGGGCTCAGATGTCTGCATTGTGGAGGTGTCCACTTCTGGCAGGTTCCATCTGTTCAGTTTAATGGGGTTCAAGGCTTGAATGACTGAAACCGAGACAGGGCATGAATACCTGGGCAGGTTCCATATCAAACAAAAGAAAACAAAGACTTTGATGTTCCATCTCTACATATGTGATTCAAGTTACAGTTTAAGCACTAACATAACAGACTTGTGAAGGTCCGGGGTTAGAATGAGCCTTAAGTAACGACTAACGGGATCCGGTGGTCAGGCTCACTGACTTGGTTGACACATGTCATGGGTTCCCAATTGCGCAGATTGATGCTCATGCTGTTGATCACTGGATTGTCTGATCCAGACTCGATTATTTACAGACTGCCGCCATATAGCTGGAATATTGCTGAGTGCGGCGTAAAACTAAACTCACTCACTCACTAACATAACAGAATAGCTCTCTATCACTGTGGCTGTGCAGAGTTATGTCTCTTGTGTATGCCAGGATACAATGGGTGCAAACGTTGGCATGCAATGATTATATTTCTTGGAGATGGCCTTGCAAGAGTGTCGTTCGCAACTTATCCATTCATTTTTTGGCAATAAGATATTTTTACATTTAATTTGAGTATATTTGTGGGACTCACCAAAGTGGTAAAATAACTCACCTAGTGTTGTTTTGATCATGGTAAGTTCATAGACAATTTGCTCATTATGACCATCTACCAATTCTCACCATCATCCTCAGTGAGTCCAGATCCAAAGGCTGAGATGATAAAGTTGGCTTTCACACGAACAAGCTGCTCTTCATCTTCTATCCACTCCCCTTCATCGTTCTGCTCAGTTCGTAGAAACTCCATCGCGCTTATTCGGCCATTTTTGGTCAATACTTGCTTGGGTGACATGAACGGCATGAACTCACACTTCTCCACCTTGGCCAGCTCCATCTGTGGGTAGATCAGAGGCATGATGGGTAGATTCACTTACAGAAACAGAACACAACAGGATACCCCTAATACACTGAAAAGACTATATCTGATTGTAGACTAATGCATATATATAATTTTGATTGTAAGAAATAAACCCATTTAAAATTAAAAGGAGGGAGACCCTGAGCCTGGGAAAATTTAGACTTGCTTCATTTAGGGCTTTAGCATTGCAGAGGGGGGGGGGGATAATGTGGTCAGTGAGTACTCTGATTAGTATTGCTCAACTTGTAGACAGAGAAGAGACAACGACATCTGGCCCCAATGAATATGTATGAGTGGTATAGTCCATATTTGGAAGGGGTTATGCTAGTGAGTGAGTGAGTTTAGTTTTACGCCACACTCAGCAATATTCCAGCTATATGCGGCGGTCTGTAAATAATCGAGTCTGGACCTGACAATCCAGTGATCAACAACATGAGCATCGATCTGCGCAATTGGGAACCGATGACATGTGTCAACCAAGTCAGCGAGCCTGACCACCCGATTCCATTAGTCGCCTCTTACGAGAAGCATGGGTTACTGAAGGCCAATATTCTAACCCGGACCTTCACGGGTCTATGGGTATGCTATATTTGATGAGGACAGCTGACTGTACTGTAACATCATCATGAACAGGACTGCCAGGTTTGTATATTAGGGCCTGAATGGAAAGGAAAACTACCTACTAAATATTGGAAAGGCCCTAAGCATTTATTGCATAAATACGTCTGCACAGTTTCAATACATCCATCTCAAAAGGAAATGTCTTATTTCTGGTCTTTTTAATAGGTCCACAATGATGCAATGCCGTGGTTTAGGGAGACATTGTCATCTGGATTGAACAAAATTGGCTCTATTTCAAACATCACCATTTTGCATTGATTCAAAAAAGCACACTGATGTGGTGTCCAAACTGCACTTGATAAGCATAAAAGACTTCACAATCTTCCCCACTATCATCTGTTTGGGGGAAAGCAATGGCAAAATTACCATCACTTTATCAATGTTCATGATGTTGATCACCACATTGTCTGGTCCAGACTAGATTATTTACAGATCACCGCAATATCGTTGAAATATTGCTGCATGTGCCATTAAACAACAAACAAACAAACACTATGCAATCCCAATCATTAAATGCAACTGCAGGATCTACCTCTTCAGGAACAGCTCTAATGTTGGTGAAGCCTTTCCTGAAGACGACAAAAACACGCTTAACGCCACATCTCAGTGCCGATGTTGCACAATCAAATGCTGTATCTCCTGCTCCAAGGACGATGATGTTGCCATGGAGTTGAGGTAGCTGTGTCTTACAGGAGCACATGCCGCTCTTGCTGGCTGCTGCCACCTTCGGTAGGAAACTCTTTGAAGTTTGGAAACCCATGTCTTCCGTGAGGTTCGCAAATATTGGAATCTTTTTGGGGTCAGGCAGTCCTGGAGTAATGAAATACATACCATGATAAATGGGTACCGGGTGGGATAAGTCATGTGACTATTAACCTTTTAGTGCCTCACAGGCAGCTTGGGTTATCCGGGGTAATAATAATCAGATTGTGCACTTTGAGCATCCTTTGTGCACTTTAAGCAGGATATGAAGCCAGGAAAAACACGTTATAAATATTCCTAATTATTATAAGTCGATAAGTTTAACTGCCTGAATAAACAAGACAGTTTTATGAGTCATCTGATCCGTAAGAGATATAAACAGTCAAGTCACAGTGTCTGATCATGTGGTACACCTTGCATCTGGCAACAAGCAACTAATGTTGTGAATTGTCCCAAGACATTTCTATACATATTTCTCACTAAAAGTTAGGAGGCAGTTCAAATTTGAAGTACATGTATACTTAATAAATACAAACACATATTCATGTTTGGGTTCATAACATTTTGAAAAGTGAAAGTATGATTTAGTTGAAAACAATGTGAAATACATGCATACTTTATAAATACATACACATATTCATGTTTGGGTTCATAACATTTTGAAAAGTGAAAGTATGATTTAGTTGAAAACAATGTGAAATACATGCATACTTTATAAATACATACACATATTCATGTTTGGGTTCATAATGTGACATTTTGATAAAGTGAAAGTATATGATTTAGTTGAAAACAATGTGAAATACATGCATACTGTGAAATACATGCATACTTTATAAATACATACACATATTCATGTTTGGGTTCATAACATTTTGAAAAGTGAAAGTATGATTTAGTTGAAAACAATGTGAAATACATGCATACTTTATAAATACATACACATATTCATGTTTGGGTTCATAACATTTTGAAAAGTGAAAGTATGATTTAGTTGAAAACAATGTGAAATACATGCATACTTTATAAATACATACACATATTCATGTTTGGGTTCATAACATTTTGAAAAGTGAAAGTATGTTAGAATCTGTATTTTTGTTTCCTTTGGTGAGATTCTAATGACACAAGACACACCATATGAGCCGAACCTACCTATTCCAATGAAGACTGCTTTGTAGCCCTGTTGTTGTAGTGACTTGAGCGAGATGTCTGCAGTGCTGAGGGATCTGCCTGTCTCCACCTGGGGCATACAGTCAGTGAGGGGATATTGAGTTATAACAGTCTCAGGCATAATCCAGCTTCATCAAAGATGTATAACAGATTTATCACAGTTTAATTACAATACTGAAGAAACAGCATAGCTACATAAAGGCTACAGTGCAGTTTTATTACAGCTATACTACCACCATATCACAGCCATAACACAAACACCACAGCCATAACACAACCATATCACAGTCATAACACAACCATATCACAGTCATAACACAACCATCACAGCCATAACACAACCATCACAGCCATAACACAACCATATCACAGCCATAATACAACCATATCACAGCCATAACACAACCATCACAGTCATAACACAACCATATCACAGTCATAACACAACCATCACAGTCATAACACAACCATAACACAGTCATCACAGCCATATCACAGTCATATCACAGCCACAACCATCACAGCCATAACACAACCATCACAGTCATCACAGCCATAACACAGCATAACACAACCATCACAGCCATAACACAACCATAACACAGAACATCCATCACAGCCATAACACAACCATCACAGCCATAACACAACCATCACAGCCATAACACAACCATCACAGCCATAACACAACCATCACAGCCATAACACAACCATCACAGCCATAACACAACCATCACAGCCATAACACAACCATATCACAGCCATAACACAACCATCACAACCATCACATCCATAACACAACCATCACAGCCATAACACAACCATCACAGCCATAACACAACCATCACAGCCATAACACAACCATATCACAGCCATAACACAACCATATCACAGCCATAACACAATCATCACAGCCATATCACAGCCATAACACAACCATAACACAACCATCACAGCCATAACACAACCATATCACAGCCATAACACAACCATCACAGCCATAACACAACCATCACAGCCATAACACAACCATATCACAGCTAACACAACCATCACAGCCATAACACAACCATCACAGCCATAACACAACCATATCACAGCCATAACACAACCATATCACAACCATAACACAACCATAACACACATATCATATATCACAACCATCACAGCCATAACACAACCATCACAGCCATAACACAACCATCACAGCCATAACACAACCATCACAGCCATAACACAACCATCACAGCCATAACACAACCATCACAGCCATAACACAACCATATCACAGCCATAACACAACCATCACAGCCATAACACAACCATCACAGCCATAACACAACCATATAACAGCCATAATACTACCATATAACAGTAATACCACTGCAGTATAACACTGACTGACTGACTGAGTATGGTTCTATGCTGTTTTTATCAATATTCCAGCAATATCACAGTGGGGAACACCAGAAATGGGCTTCACAAATTGTACCCATGTGGGGAATCAAAGGTGGGCCTTCGGCGTGACGAGCGAACACTTTAACCACTAGGCTACCCCACCGCCCCTGCAGTATAACAGCCATAACACAATCATATAACAGTTATACCAAGGCTGTATAACACCCATAATACAACCATATAACAGTTATACCATGGCTGTACAGCAGCCATAATACAACCATATAACAGTTATACAATGGCTATATAACAGCCATTATACAACCATATAGCAGTTATACTAAGACTGTATAACAGTCATAATACATCCCTGTAGAATGCATAGATAACAGCCATAATACAACACCATAACAGCTACGTCACAGCTGTAGCTTGGCTATATTACCCTTTCATCAAAATGATAGAAGAGATATCAAAGCCATAATTTCAATAACATCACAGTCATAAAATTATAACAGACATAATATAACACAGCAACGTCACAGCTGTAGCTCAGCTATATAATCTTTTTATAGAAATGACAGAGAAGATATCAAAACCATAATTTCAATAATATCACAGTCATAAAAATTCATACTATGGACCAACTCTATCAAGGTTGCATGTATTGTTCACATGACAATACCATTCCAAACACATTTGTTACTCTGTAATCTCAAATATAACTCTACATAGGAATTTAACAGTTGACAGTGATCTATTAACAGTGTTACACCTGCCACTAGTTACAAGGTCCAGGAAGTAGTTACAAGGACTGAAAACTGACATAACTGACTGAGGCACTGGCACCATGTCATGGGGCAATGTACCCCTTTAACCCTACCAGCACTCTGCCATGGTACTGACATCACATGTTGGGGACTCCATGCCCTGCTACATCCTCCCCAGTTAACAGAAGGCATGTCCCAGGCCACATGATACCTATTCTGCTAAACCTTGAATGAACACTCAGCCCTACACTGGGTGCCAATTTTCTAGTTCCCTGATTGGATTCTAATCACAGACCTGTGGGTGCCACACTCAATTTTCTAGCCCTACACTGACCTGTGGGTGCCAATGTAGCCAATTTTCTAGTTCCCTGATTGGATTCTAATCACAGACCTGTGGGTGCCAATGTAGCCATCATACAATTTTCTAGTCCCCTGATTGGATTCTAACCACAGACCTGTGGGTGCCAATGTAGCCATCATACAATGTTTTAGTCCCCTGATTGGATTCTAGCCACAGACCTGTAGGTGCCAATGTAGCCATCATACAATGTTTTAGTCCTCTGATTGGATTCTAACCACAGACCTGTGGGTGCCAATGTAGCCATCATACAATGTTTTAGTCCCCTGATTGGATTCTAACCACAGACCTGATCAGAGGTTGGAGTGGAGGTGTTATACCCCTGACAATGGACGATGTTATTTTCTACAATATTACAGCCATACCACAGGACAAAGCACTATGACTGTTGCAACAGCTTTGAGCAACTCACTCCTGTTATTAACACCAAGCTACAGGACAAGCTACAACTGCCGTAACCCTACATTAAAGTGACAACCACAACAGCTCTAAGACAGCTTTGCGCAACTGATTCCTGTTATTAATACCAAGCTATAGAACAAGCTACAACTGTCACAAGCCTACCTTACAGTTACGATCACCTCAGCTCTAAGAAAGCATTGAGCAGCTGGCTCCTCACGCTATCACCTGTCAGCCTCTAAGAAAGCATTGAGCAGCTGGCTCCTCATGATACATATCAAGCTACAGGACATGATACAACATGATACAACTGTCCCAAGCCTACGATACAGTTACGATCACCTCAGCTCTAAGAAAGCATTGAGCAGCTGGTTCCTCACCTCAGCTCTAAGAAAGCATTGAGCAGCTGGCTCCTCTCTGGCTCCTCGTATTAATAACAAGCTACAGGACATGCTACAACTGTCACAAGCCTACGTTACAGTTACGATCACCTAAGCTCTAAGAAAGCATTGAGCAGCTGGCTCCTCATATTAATAACAAGCTACAGGACATGCTACAACTGTCACAAGCCTACGTTACAGTTACGATCACCTCAAGCTCTAAGACAGCTTTGAGCAACTGGCTCCTCGTATTAATAACAAGCTACAGGACAAGCTACAACTGTCACAAGCCTACGTTACAGTTCACGATCACCTCAGCTTAAGACAGCTTTGTGCAACTGTCACAAGCTTCATCAGCATTAATACAAGCTTTGTCACAAGCCTACGCTACAGTTACGATCACCTCAGCGCTAAGACAGCTTTGTGCAACTGGCTCCTCACATTAATACCAAGCTACAACTGTCACAAGCCTACGTTACAGTTACGATCACCTCAGCTCTAAGACAGCTTTGTGCAACTGGCTCCTCGCATTAATACCAAGCTACAGGACAGACAGGCAAGGACACAAACCTTGACTCCCAAGTCCTTCATCAGCTGAATCTCAAAGTCCACAACACTGATTGGTAACCGGAACTGGGGGATCTCGGATGTACTGAAACATGGAATAATTTATGTCTTACTGAACACACAAACCATGTCTTCCTGGTATTTATAAAAGAACTCACCTGGCTCAAACTGTATTTGGAGATGCCATCAGTACAAAGCTGACTGCTCCAGTACAAACTGCTGAAATACTAGAGACACCATGTCCTAGTATATGTTGCAAGTTTATGTCGAGTTCCAGATTTCTCCATATGTGTTGTTTAACACTAATCTGCAATATTCTAGCTATGTCATAGTTGCTTGTAAATAATTGAGTGAGTGAATTTATACCACTTTTAGCAATAGTGAGTGAGTGAGTGAGTGAGTGAGCGGAGCGAGCGAGGCGAGTGGGGTTTAACACTACTTTGAACAGCTTAACAAGGAAGGACACTGATGCCCTTCTTAATAAGGAGAACAGGTTAATGTAAAATACAATAAGCATAGAGAAATTCTTTTCAAACTAATTGACTTAAGAGTTTTTTCTCTAATTTACCTGAGACCTCCCAAATACTCATTCTTCTCAAATACAGTGATATCGCTATATCCAAGGCGAGCAAGGAATGTGGCACAACTGATGCTAGCTGGTCCACAGCCAATCAGGGCAATCTTCGACCTGTAGCTGGCGGGTAATTGGTCAACGGGGACTAAGCTCGGATCTCGGATTTGAGGTATGTTCATGGTCTTGAATATCTAAAAGAAGAAATCAAGTCACAGATTTACATAAGCAGATATGTTAAATACAATAAACAGAATCCTAAAGAATATTTTGATGCTAATGAAACCGATCCACTAGGGTCTGAAGGTCACTGGAATTTCTGAACAAACACAGCCATGTTTAGTGAGTGAGTGAGTGAATATGGTTTACGCCGCTTTTAGCAATATTCCAGCAATATCACGGCGGGGGACACCAGAAATGGGCTTCACTCTTTGTAACCATGTGGGGAATCGAACCCGGGTTTTCAGTGTGACAAGCGAACGCTTTAACCACTCGGCTACCCCACCGCCCAGCAGCCATGTTTAGGGCTAGACTTGAATTCTGTATGCAGTCTTCAAAGGAACCACAGCTTGGATTATTCACACAAAGTTTAACCTTTCCATTGTCAGAGAAACTTGCAGTTACAGGGATATGTGAAGGTCAGAAGGTTTTTAGGTTGAAAAATATTAAAACATGCCACAAACAATATGAGATGCATTCTCCATGTTGCATACCTGCTCCACATACTAATCATAATCACACATGCAGAAAGGGCTGATCATGAGTGACAAGCACCAATGGTATTTTCAATATGGCGTCAACATCCACCATGATTGGAATTCTATGAGCAAATCTTAAAGAACACATGAATACAAAGCAACAGCTTGATAGACATTTAATTTCAGAGATGTTGAAAATGTTAAAGTAAGTGAAGGATGGATGGATTGACAGGTGGTGGACAAAGCACCATGACATACCTTATATTTCTGTGTATAGAGTGACCCCATGTATAAGACCTTGTATAGGTTTTACATAGACCTTCAAAACTGATGCTAATCTATATAACCCATCTGTAAAGCAACCCTGAATGAAGCACATCTTCAGCACATACACAATCCCTATTTTGAGCCAGTTTGTATGTTGATATGGTTGGACACCAAAATAATGACAGAAAAATATTTTTCATTTAACAGTGTATGAAATAAGGCCCGTCTGACCGCCTGAGATGGGCCAAATTTCTGACGGACGGTCTAAATTTACAGCTAGCTAGCCCGATGGTCTGGTAAAAACTTTTGATGTTCCATACATCTGAGTAAATTCACCATATCTTGGTGTCTGGTCTGGTTAAATCCATTTTGGGCTGGTAACATTTTGAAGTTACCAGATGAAAAAATGTGAGACCTTTTACCTGGTGTATAAGGCGAATCGCTTTCAAACCCCTCTAATCCTTCGTACGAAAAACACATCTTTTAAAGCTTGCCCTCTTACAGCTTGGATATTGCCGAGTTCGACATTAAACAACAAACAACATCAGTTGGCCCTTGGGAAAATTCTGCCTCTAAATCCATACTGACTGTCCTACCATAGTCTTCATCCTCATCATCCTACCTCTGTGGCAAACTGCTGGAGGCCTCCAATGTTGATTGGCCCTTCTTCTGAGGCGTCAAGGTTACAACCTCCAACACAGAGGTCAGAGGTCGGGCACACCATGCCACAGGTCAACCCAAGAGGATTGTCTGAGAGGATGGCCTTGGCAGCACCATAGAAATTCTGAAACAAACATCACCTTTCGTTAACAGGAAAACAAATATTTCAACAACAATTTTTTTTAAATATTTCAAATATTGTCACAAAAATTCTGACAAATCATGAGAGTTTCTTTGAGATATATTTTATCACAAATGGTGAGGTGAGGTGAAATTGGGTTTAACGTCGTGCTTGAGAATATTTTGCTCATATGACGATGTGCATGCGTGTGTATGTGTATGTGCGGCTGCTTGTACTAGCCCAGACTTAAGCTGGTTTTATAGTGCTAGCCCACCGAGATACCATGCCGCAGTGAAGCATGAATACCTCACTCAGACACAGTATACTGACTCCGAGCCGACCAGTCCTTGTTGTACCCATTAATGCCGAGCGCCAGGCAGGGACCAACAAGTACCATATTTTAATGTCTTTTGGTATGATGCGGTCGGGGATCGAACCCCCGACCTTCCGCTCTCCGGTCGGACGCTCTAAGCACTACACCACAGAGGCGGTCTTATCACAAATGGGCAGTTGGAAAGGTTAATGACAATAATACACTCTGTGAATATTCAGTGGATATTCTTGCTTATAACTGTAACCATAGTAACTATAATGCTTGGTGGAATAACCTATCCAGGATCGAACATGAGTGAGCAAACACTTCACTACTGCACTACTGAACTCATCCTGGATTACCTTGTGTAACATCAAAATATCTACTTTGACATATACTGAGAGAAACAAATAAAGGAACACAGGAAAATTCAAGCGTTCCTTTAATATTTTCCAGTTGTCATCACCATCTTTGAACAGCACTGTAGGGGAAATCTGAGAATAAATAAAGGAACACTGCCATGAAGTGGTGTTCCCTTATTTGCTTCCCTCAGTATATATACCCTGGGCATATTCACCACTAAACCATTTTGGGTGAGTGAGTGAGTGAGTGAGTGAGTGAGTGAGTTGAGTGAGTGTTTTATGCTGCTTTTAACAATATTCCAGCAATATCACGTCTTGGGACATGTCATGTACACATGAGTGGAATCGAACCTGGACCTTCAGTGAGACAAGCAAACACTTAAACCACTAGGTTACCCCACTCCCCTACAATTTTGCAAAAGAAGTCACCAGCATCTGCATTAGCCCATATCACTTAATCAGCACACTTTTACTCTTCTCATGAAAACTGACAAGCAACTAACACCACTCCTCTGTGGGGAAATTTGGCACTAGACGATCCCTTGATATATTCAACTAAATCAGAGGATTGTGGGAAAGGGTTTTCTAAGACAGGGTTGGAAGTCCAATTGTATTTGAGGCGACACAAAGAAGCTTGTTTTAATGAAGAAAGAATAGTGTAATTTGATTCAATGTCTATATTTAACATGACGCCATTCAAATCAACAACAAAAGAATTGCAGTGAATGCAGTCGAGCTATGTCAACATAACGGAGACATACAATACTGGCTAACCAAGAATGTGCAACCAGCGTTACAACTACCTTTGTTGAGATGCAGCTGATGAACGTCTTGATATCCAGCTGTGTGGGGCAGCTCTTCTGACAGGGGGCATCGGCGCACTTGAGACATCGCGCGGCCTCACGAAGTGCAGCACGCTCACTTAGTGTCGTGTGTTTGATGTCGTCAAAGTTTTTCACCAAGTTGTTACAACTCTGAAATGATTTATGTTGTCTAGGTTCAGTCAAACAACAAAATGCTACACTAAGTTATCGACTTGATAAATAAAATGTATAAGGCTTAATAAAATATTGTCTAATAATGAAATGCTCTCAATCCTAGAGCCTCTTAACTCAGCCTAAAGCTAAGAATGGGTTGGGTAATTTTGAATATGAGTGAGTGAGTGAGTGAGTGAATGAGTGAGTCTGTGTGATAATTGTCAGTGTTCAAACATTATTCATTCACATAATAATGGAGGTATCAGTGGTGTTTATTACTGAACATTTGTTGCATATCTGGCATCAGTGTTCAGTTAAACACCATTAAACACTCTCCTACTCATGTGAGAAACATCACTTCCAGAATGCTGCAAGTGATCAAGTCACAGATACTTAACTTTGATAAAGACCCTGGGGATATGGTGCTTACAGACCTAGGATTATCGGATTCAAACAGACAGCAAACACCTGTTTTCACCAAACTGCGGCACCTTACACCACAGGACACTTCTAACCCTGCATTCTTGTGCTTAACTGTTTTGGTTAGCCGGTGGGATGAAATCGGGTTTATTGTGACATTCACCATTACTGCACCTACATAGTGACATTATAAGTTATCACATCGTGTCTCGGGAAAAACGGGGTTTTATCAGTCCAGAGTATTCCCCGAGCCTGAGGCGAGGGGAATACAACCTTACGAGGGACTGATAAAACCCCGTATTTCCCGAGACATGATGTGATAACGCATTTATCTAGCCGAATGTTTTTACTAAATCAAAAGAAAACAAAACAAAATTCTCAGTTGTTGTGGCAAAACGTTTCCTTGGTGCCATGTTGACACCAGCAGATCGATTGACCTCAATGCAGCGCACGTTACTAAAGGCTTGGTGATGCACACTTTTCTCACTTCACGTGGTCACCGAGGCGTTGCGGGATAATATGACTTTTGTACTCACTGCTCGCGGATCGTGACGGGTGTACATGGTATTTTATCAGAGTCACATGAACCAATCAAAACTCGACATTCTTACATGAGGCTGGATAAAGGTATTTAAGACAGCATTATCTACCATGTATGCATCACCACAATCCAAATACTCACAAATTTAGACAGCTAATCAATTTAAAGTGTACTGATAAATAATTTATGTGGATATATTTGTCAAAGCTTAATCTTAAGAGAACAATATGTTTGAAACATAACATATAAAAAATGAAATCTATATATTACATCCATGTACATTTTATGTAATTCATATTCAATGTACATTGTATTATACTCTGTGTATATGGGCCAATGGCCTTCATACAATTAAACAACTGGACTTGACTATATCACACCAGGGATCAAACACAGATGCTCTTTGTTTGATTATAACAGAATAGTTGACATAAAACAAATTATTAATTATAAATCTCATTAAAATCAGAATACCCATGACCTAAATAATGTCTAAACTTAGATGTTTACGGAAGGATCTGAGTAATACCAAACTTTGGATAAAGTAGATCCAGCAGCTGTGTAATATGGAAACCAGAGTGCAATACGGAATTCGCTCAAATTCGCCTACTGTATTGCTATCATAAGATTAATTGGGTATGTAATATTTATTTATACATTTGATAATGTACTGCTACAAATGCTTCACACAGCATCATTTGATCTGACATCGCCTGCAGATTTGAGTGAGTAAATTAGTTTAGTTTTACCATGCTTCTAGCAATATTCCAGCTATATCACGACAGGAGACACCAGAAATGGGCTACCACATGTTACCCATGTGGAGAATTAAACCCAGGCATACAGTGTGACGAGCAAACACTTTAACCACTTAACTACCCCACTGCCCCCCTTCAGATTTGAACAGATACTGGGAAATTGCCTTGGTTGAAATTCATTCATGGAGGCACTTTGCCTTTATGCAACTAAGTATTTAGCTGTGCTCTGAATCAGATACTTGACAGTTACTGACATAATATCCTTATGGAAGGAAATAGTTGTTAGGGAACTAGGCTTCGCCAATGCAGGTTTGCTAGGCAGTGTTATGAGAAAACAGAGTTATCTCCCCTTCCTAACTCTCCCTTGTTGTTTTGCCTGGTTGCGTGGATTGGCGCGTGTTAGGTGCACCAATAAAATCTATAACGAAGAGTTCTCTCGTGTCCTCTCAACACACAAGTGTACAGTACCTTCTACCTTAACTGGCGCTTGTATATGCCTCGCTGTATGTTCCCACAACTCATCTCTGAGGATAAAGTACAGTCACTTGTCCCTTTTAACATGTATACTACAAGGACGACACAATATCTGACATGCTTGAAACTGAGCCGGAGCTTCCTACAAGCTGATCCTTGTCTTAATCTGTCAGTGTTTGTTCGTGCTATTATCGGGAGACATGTCTAAAAGCAATCCTCTTCAGACATCAAGCACACAACAATGTCATAGGATATTATGCAATAATACCGGTAACGTAAACAAGCTGAATTTGGGTCAGTAGACAACGTGACTGGTGTTATGCAACCTGTAGAAATATTCCAGATGCATTATGGGTTGAAGCCAGTGTGGGGGGGGGAAACAAACCCAAGCCTTAGGTATGATAGATGAATGGTTAAACCACAAGGCACAAGTGACAGTCTCTCAATACAAGTCAAGGAGTATTGGTCATGCAAAAATTCAAATATTATGAATGGCGAAAAGGTCATCTACATGCATGATGTATCTGAATGCAATACACTGATACTCTCTGTGAGACAGCATTTTTTTAGCAGGTTGTCGATCTTCCTTGAACTCTAGACCAAACACTGCAGGTTTCAGTCGTATTTCGGGATCAAAGTAACTGAGCTGCATAGTAACCTTGAGATTTGGTCCACCATCTTTGTTTTCCCATATGTGTTGTGACAGGAATGATCTGATTGGCTGTTTCATGCAATGGCTGGCCAATGGCTGTTCAGCATAAATTTATCTGTTGACTGGTTTCAATGTTACCTTCTTGAGGTATACAAGAGCTTGATGTGGTGGGGGTCATTGTCTTTCATGTCAAGTTTCCTGATAAGAAGTAATTCCAGATACTGTGACCTTCAGATGAAAGATTATCCTGTTCTATTATTAGAGTTAAGTCAGTTAGGAAATGTAGGCCATACAGTTAATTTTATAGGCAAGTTAAAGGGAAAGTCGATACATGCAAAGGTTTAGGTTAAAACTTGAATTATATATTTTTTTCAGTTGCCAGTTCAGAAAAACAATGAACTTAGAACTCTGTTTTCTCAAGGAAAAGTGGATGAATCTTCCTTTTTCCTTATGAATTTGGATTACATGTACAATATCAAATTAAATAGTTCAAATGAATTAATGCAAGTTTGCATTAAATCAACTCTCATGCCCTCTACCAGCTGAACATTATTCTAAGCGAACCCCATAGAGTTATGTCCCTTGGAGCTCTCTTTACGAATATCCTACGCACAACTTGTGATTGAAACCAATTTGGCAAACACCCTCTGCCAGCAGGTGGAGTGAGTGAGTTTAGTTTTATGTCGCTTTTAGCAATATTCCAGCAATATCATGGCAGAGGACACTATGAATGGACTTCACACATTGTATGTGGGGAATCAAACCCAGGTCTTCAGCATGACAAGCGAACGCTTTAAACACTTGGCTCTCCCACCGCCCCTGAGCTAAGAAACCAAGTGGTATGTTAGGCATTCCGATAAGCAAGGATATGAATGTACGAGTTTACGCTGTACTCTGGTTATGGGGAGGTCTATCCACCATTCTGATAACAGTACAACTCATTAATCACATCAGCAAATATAGCAGATAGACAAGAGTTATATTGTATGAGTAGTATGTGTATCCCAAATTATCCAATTACATATTCAAGCCACTTATCATGTTCACTCATCATGATTCATGTCTGAAGTTCTGACGACAGGTCTAGCAACAATGGCATGAAGAGTCATTCAAAGGAGGAATACTTCTAACACATGAATACAACACCTAACCATGACAGATAGTAATGCCCCTAGCATTTTTTAAACCTCAAATAACTTGTTGAAATACTTTCACTTCTTCTAAATCTTATACAGTGAAACCTTCCAACACCATCACCTGTCTAATCCGGCACACTGTCAAAACCAGCATAAAAGTTTGGTCCTGCCATTTTTACAGTGATAGTATGATCATTAAAACATTGTCTACTCCAGCACGTGTCTATTCTGTATTCCGGCACGACTTTCCGGTCCCAACTAGCAATTTTAACTGTAATTAAACCGGCATGGGTATGAGCAGTCCAATCAAGGTCCTTAAATCCAATACACTCCTCTCGGCACACCATATTACAGAGATAAAGAGACTGACGAGTGTAAATGGCAGCCAAGTTGGAAAATGATCGTAACTGTCTAAAGCAGCACCCTGTCTAAACCGGCATTTTATTTCGGTGGTGTGGGGTGCCGGTTTAGACAGGTTTCACTGTACAACACATGGTATTTCTAAATTAATCAGCATTGCCAAGATGTACTGATTCTATCTTGGTTTGCTAAGAGTGAGTGAGTGAGTGAGTATGGTTTTACGCCGCTTTTAGGACACCAGAAATGGGTTTCACACAATGTACCCATGTGGGGAATCAAACCCGGATCTTCGGCGTGACGAGAGGATGCTTTAACCACTAGGCTACCCCACCACCCCAGTAATGCCAAGAAGAGATGCCAAGCAGCCTTATTTGAAAAATAAAAATATGATTTTTCTGATATTTTTAAAATTAAATGACTATTATGGTATAAAGGATTAATAAATTATAAGTGAACATGAAATGCAAAATGTGAAGGCGAAATATGAAGTACACAGTGAAAATTTGACAGCAAAGGCTTAGATAAATCACAATGAAATGTAAAATTTGAAAGTGATATATACGAAATCCACAGTGAAGTTTTTACAGTAAAGTTTGAAGTGATGTAAACAGACTTGAAATCATCGTGAAATACAAATGTGATACTGAAAGCGAATT